CCTCTCTCCTTCCCTCCCTCCCTCCCTCCTTCCCTCTCTCCCTCCCTCCCTCTTTACCCCTTGTGCCGGGCTGCTTTTGGTAGAAACGGAGCCGTCTCCCTCGCGTCCTCCTCCTCTTCCTCCTCCTCTTCCTCCTCCTCCTCTTCCTCCTTCTTGTGTCTTCCGCATCCTTCCTTTCCAGTATCCACACGCAGGGCCATTCCCCCCCGTCGAGTACGCAGGCTCACGTCCTCCCTGGCACCTCCGGGCGATGAAGATGGCCAGGCTTCCTCCCCTTGTTCCCCAAGCGGAAGTGCCTCTGTACCCACCGCTTCCTTGGGCTTGGTCATGCTCGTTTCACACTCTGCTGGGGCTGCCTTGTACGGTACTTTGTGCGCGCTGACTGGGGTTGACCTTCCGATACCCTCCCTCTTCCTACAAGGACCTGCCGGAGGGTAGGGCGACGCCCGTCAAAGGCTGTCGGAAAAATTCACCAACGTTGGTATCCCGGTATTAAAGAGCCTCTCAACGCGCCTGTGAGAATTGTGGGGCATAAGACGTGAACGTGGGCGGGTAAATGCTCTTCGACCCTAAGCCATCGTCCTCCTCAGGAGGTTTCTGCTTGCGTCGCTAAATTCTTTCTTTTCTCGTTCGCTATCACCCCCGAGACACAACAACACTCGATTCCCGCCTGTACCCTGACGCCGGCGGGGCGCACTGTTTGCGTCGAGTGTCGCGAGCCTGGCACGCCTGGTGTGTGCGTCTTGGGGTTGTCGTTTTCATGGTTTTGGGACTTCCTTTGTCGGCTTGTGAAAGAGTCAAAAGACAACATCACTATGCTTTTGCTTTTCCTCCTTTCCAAGCATACCGCAAACATGCGGTAGTCGCGTCTTTGATGGCTTCTTTAGGGTACTCTGCACATTTTTTGGCACTACCTAAGGTAGATCTCCACACCCACTGCCATTCAGTCGAAATTTGTTTTTCATGGGGGAACAGGAGGGGAGATGCGAGGTATACCCTGCGTCTGTCATAAAGGAGGCATAGAAATGAATGATGGATGAGGTTGTGCCCACTAGCAAACAACTTTCTTCAACTCCTGGGGCTTCATTTAATTCCTGACCTCCCGTTCCCGTCCATTTCACACGTGTGAATCGGTACAGAGGCATGCGTCCGCAAGCGCCGTGGCGGAGTCCCCTTCCTTTCTCGCTGCCTCCCAATGTCGTCGTCCTTGTGCTCCTCCTCCTATGCTGCCGTCCGCTCACTGGGAAAGAAGCCAAGGAGGCCGCGGAAGGCAGCTCGACGCCCATGGACGCCGGGAAGGAGCATGTGCGTCCCCTAGGGTTGACCTCGACGGGGCCGGAAGGGAAAGAGTCGGAGCCGCTCAATTTTTTGTACGAGCAAATGAAGAGCCAGGCGGAGCTGTTGAAGGAAGGCTACGCGTGCTTTGTGACAGGAGAATGCATAGCGTGCTCCGCGGAGGAGATGGTGAGGGAGGAAGGAGGGAGGGAAGGGAGACGCCACGGGAAACCAGGACTGGCTCTATAATGGATGCCATCTCCCATTCGTCTCTATTCTAATGTATTAATGATACCCTCATGTATGTTCCTGACAGAGTCAAGCCTTTTGTCAAACGAGTAAACGCCGGGAGGAGGTTACCTGCGAGCGGGAGGAAGTCGTGGACGGAGGTGCGTCGCGATGGCACCCGCCTTCCCTCCGTCCTTCCCTCCCTCCCTCCCTCCCTCTCTGCTTCTCTCCCTCCTTACCTCCCTGCCTCCTCCCCTCCCCCTCGTTAAGGCCCCTCCGTCCCACATTTTAACGTTGCTGTGCTCACCTCCATCGAACACAGTAGCTGACATCTAAACATCGTAACCATCCACTCACTCGTCCCTTTCCTCCCTCCCTTTCTCCCTCCCTCCTTCCCTCCTTCCCACATTTTCCCTCCCCCTCTCCTCAGCCACCCACATGAGGACTTACACCACTTACTCCGCCTGTGCTCGCACCTCGTCAGACAGTCTGGTAGAGGTGCTGCGGTTTCAAGCCGCGATGGCCACGGTGGGCGGCTTGGCGTTTTACGGCGCGAGGCACCAGAAAGTGAAGCATTTGACATTGTACGAACGGAGGACCGGGGCGGGAAGGTGAGGGAGGGAAGGAGGGAGGGAGGGAGGGCGGGAGGACGGAGGAGCGGATGAAGAGAAGGGGGAGAAAGGTTTGTGCATACGTCTTTTTCACATAGATACGGCGTGGCACGGAGGGAGGGAGGGAAGGAGGGAGGGAGGGAGGGAGGGAGGAAGGAGAGGGCTCGACGGCACGAAAAGGGCGGGCTGGATGAGCGTAGAGAGGAAGGGAGGGGGCGCGGGAGGGGAGAGTGGGTGCACGGGCAAGAAAACTGCTGGCGCAACCTCATTCCTAACGTCCAAAGGGGAGGATTATTAAAGACTGATACCCTCACGAGCAGCATGACTGCGAACGGAGAAGGGTATGGAATGTGAAAGGATGAGGACGTTGACTGCGAAAGAAGAAGGAGGTAGACTGTGAAAGAAAGAGGGAGCGAACACGTCCCCTTCAAGCGCCACTTTTTATGGATGCCACCTGATCACGCGGCTTTGTTATTATATATAAAGATATATATATATATGTATTTTCTCTTGATGTTTCTGTCCCACGGGATATCGCTCCCAGGCGCAAAACCCCCGACCATACAAAGCTATGGCTCCTCCTCC